TTCCTGAAGTTCTTGTTTAATCAAAATTGCAAAACTAAATAAGTTATTGTCTTCAAAAGTAAAGACTTCAACTTAGTCTTTGGAGTCACTTATAATTTCCACTCTATTCTTTCCTGGGAAATATTATTAATTAAATATATTAAACACAATTTGAGACAAATATTTCCTCTCAAAATAACTTGCTTCATTTTCTCCACTCCATCGTGTTACTTTTCACAGTTGAATACGCCTCAAGAGCTAGCTTTTCCAACGCACTGTGTGCTTCGAATAAACACAGTAGAGTGCCAAGGAGAGTGGGAAAGCCAGTCCGGTCCAAGTTTATTTTAATAATATTTGCCTGGCCTGCAGCTCGAGCTCTCGTGACTGCAGTTGGAGCTACATAAGCATATACACACAGAGTTGTAGAATAGAGTCGTACTAAACCAGAGTCGCAGTGCGATTGCAGCTGAAGTCGCATGCTGCACTTAATTAGCAGCTGAAATATGTGCAGCATGGCGGCGGCAATTGAGTTAATTAAATAAGCTGGCATGACAACTGCTACTAGAGAGCGAGTTCATTAGGTCCGAGCCACACATGACTATCAGCCAGGCGCCAGGGAAGCCACCCACGTAACCACTTGGCCCACTTCAATGGCCATTGAGAATGCATTCATTCGGTGGCTCAAATACAGTTAGCAGTTTCCAGGACTCTCGTTAATAATCAGGTGTTGTTTTGTTCAATGTGGTTGCACACGCTACACTAACAGAAATAAGTATATGGATAGCTATTCATTATATAAAACGAATAAATACATTTAATTTAATATTAAAAAAGGTACAAGAAGATAAACTGATCCTATAAACATGTCAAATTTCAATAAGAGAGATTAATAGAAGGAAAAAAGAGAAAAAAATAAACAAAATCTCTAAAATGTGTGTTTATAAAATTTCTAAATAATTTTTCATCAAATTTAAGTTGTATTTGAATTACTTTTTCAACTCAGTGTAGAAGCCCATAGCTCCACATTCTCAGTAAGGCATTCTAAAGCCGCTTCGACATCAACTTAATTGCATTTCATTCATACCTAAGCAGGCAGCCAGTGGAAAGGAAGAGAAAAGGTGTCAGTAATAGTGTGAAGTTTTATTTCCCTTCAATGCCATTTTCCACCAGCTCCAGCGAAATGCTTCAAAATAAAGTAAAGAAAAAAACAACAGCGAAACAAAAAGTGGGACGAGTAAAGACAAAGGGCAACGACTCTAGAATGACTCGGAAAAATATATATTTTCTCAAAAAGAAAATACATAAAATATATAGAGAAAAGTCAGATAGATTTAAATAGTATTCTTTTAAAATTAAAATGGGGTTTAAAGCATTGTAAGGATAAAGGGAATACATTTTATAAAAAAATCAACTTTTAAGAAACTATAATCTTGGAATAAAATAAATATTCTAAATTCCTGAAAGAAAGAATATATTTTCTCCTTGATTATTACATCGTAGTTTATTTAGTTATTATTAAATTAAAATTAAAATTAAATTTACTACTGTTTTCATTGCATTCTCTTAGACAGAAATTAAAACAGATTTAAATCCTACTAAGAAACTCATTAAAAATCCTTTCAATTTTTCAACTCTTAGTATTCTGATGAATAAATATATTTATCCCTCACGTTCACGAATCGTTTCGAAATGAATATACCCCTTTTATTCATTTTCGAGTGGATAAGACAAAGACCGAATCCAGAATGTGATGCCAAGTGGCTGCTGCCGCGGATTCATGCAATGGTGTGGGTGAGCCCGAATGCCAGTGTGTGGGTGTGGCTGCCAAAGGAGCGCCAAAGTGCGAAAAAAAAAAGGAAAGCTGTCGGAGGGGTAAAGAGAGGAGGGAGCGGGAAAAGCGAACAATGGGTGCATCGAGCACGGCAAGTGCGAAAAAAATGAACAACTTAAGCCGCTTGGCTTTTGTTAGTGCTGCCTTAGATTTTCATTCCCATTTTCCGCATGCCATTTTCCCCCTCCCCCCATTTTCCATTTTAACCAGAGTTTGCACTACAAAATGCTAGCCGGAAAATCAAATGAGCGGATATTCTCAGCTAGAAAGTCACAAATGAAATTGAAGTTGAAAAATCATTGATGGCAAAGGATTTGATTGGGGAACTACAAAAAAGATTATTGGACTCTTACTTTGAGTTCATGTTATGTCTTATTAATAAATTATTTTTCCACGAGCTCTTCTATTGTCAAACAAAAAATATTTGTAAAATATTTGCGTTCTTTGAATTGATATTATTTATGCAAATTTTTTGTACAAATTTAAATTTAAAATGCTCATAACTAAGTCAAAAAAGCATTAATTATAATTCGGAAAGTGTTCTCATGCTAGTTTTTATCAGGTTTACAAATCTGCATACTCAGTTTAAAATGTTTAAAAACTAAATATTTTGTCAAATTTTTAGACAATTTTATCGATGAAAAAACAACCATTCATGGCTGGATCGATTCGGCTGTTGGTGCTGATCAAGAATATATATGATTTATAGGGTCGGAAATGACTCCTTCACTGCTTTTCAAGATTCTGACTGAAACTATAAGGGTATAAATATTCGCATTCTTTGGGTCGTTATTTATATGCCAGATTTTCTAAAGCCCACAGCTTAAAAAACTTATAACTAAGTCAAAAAAGCATAAATTTCGAATCGGAAAGCTGTTCTGAACTAGTTTTATATAGATTAATAAATCTACATACCAAAATTTAAATTTTAAAATATTTAAAATTTTGCCTAAATTTTAAATTGTCTAAGATGTAAAAACCTGATTAAAATATTGAAAAAAATTTCAAAAATTAAAAATTCTTTTCTTTATGCCTAGTAAGATTCGCCTGTTGATGCTGATCAAGAATATATATGATTTATAGGGTCGGAAATGACTCCTTCACTTAGTTTTAAACTTCTGACTGAAGGTGCAATACCATTTTTAAGGGATATTAACTATATTTTTATATGAATATTTTTTGGACAAATCAAAATGTTAAAATATCATAACTAAGCCAAAAATGCATTAATTTCATTCCGGAGAGCGTTTGTATGTTAATTTTTACCAGGTTAATAAAACTGCCTGTAAATTATAGGGTCGGAAATGACTCCTTCACTTAGTTTTCAGCTTCTGACTGAAGGTGCAATACCATATTTGAGGGATATTAACCATATTTTTATATGAATATTTTTTGGACAAATCAAAGTGTAAAAATCTCATAACTAAGCCAAAAAAGCATAAATTTCGAATCGGAAAGCTGTTCTGCGCTAGTTTTTAATAGGTTAATAAATCTGCATACCTTAATTTAATTTTTAAAATATTTAAAATTTTGCCCAAATTTTAAATTGTCAAAGATGTAAAAACCTGACTAAAAAAATTGAAAAAATTTTCAAAAATTAAAAAGTCTTTTCTTTATGCCTAGAAAGATTCTCCTGTTGATGCTGATCAAGAATATATATGATTTATAGGGTCGGAAATGATTCCTTATCTGCCTTTCAAGCTTCTGACTGAAATTGTAATACCCTGTAAGGGTATAAAACACCCCTGAAATATATATTTCCATTTTTAGCCATGGGTATACCCACTGTTTTGGCCATTTTCCTAGATCTTCACCCCTGTGTCCTTTGGCACTCTTAAATGCGACTCGGACATTCCAATCGCTCTTGCCGTTTTGGCCTGCGGCAATGGCGGTGGCTAAAATTGAGACGTCACCGCCAACACAGCAAACGGAATGGAATAAAGGGGGCAAACACTAAAAAACATAGGAAGGAGACAAAGAAATAGCAGATGGAGATGAAAAACCGAAGCGGGCGAAAAAAGAGTAAACTTCGTTAATTGAATTGTTCGCTGCATGGCTTCAATTGCAGGCGGTTTTTCCTCGATTTCCACGTACCACCAAATGGTCATTGTTTTGGCGAAGGATTCACCAGAGGAGAGGGAGGGACAGCTTCTACCCAGGATTCGACATCTATTTTAAGCATTTTGGTGTTTGGCACGTTCTCCGCTTTATCTCTCACCCCTCAGTGTTTATGTGTCGGCATCCAAAACATGTTATGTAAACACTTACGACCGCACATCTGCTGCCTGCTCCTCCTCCATCGTTGTCGCTGGTTTTATTAATACAAATATTAATTTTTGCGGCGCTGCATGTGGCAGCTTTGTTTACACTGACGCCGTTGCCGAAACATCCATAAACCAACCCTCGGAATAGACCCACACTCCGAGCTGTTGTATATCATTAAGGCCTCGCCTCGGAACGCAAACGCACTTCAATTTGCATGAACAAAAGCACTGGGGCCAGTCCCTTTTTCCGAAAATTATGTTTCACAAAGGCTATGTCGGCTATGACCTTGACTATGGCTTCATTTTGGGTCTTCGTTTTGAATAACTTAACCCAGAAACAGGGAACTTGTCGAGGAATGCATTTCAGAGTTGATGAACAATGTCCATCAGCGGCAGACTTTAGATGAGATGCACTCGAAGAAATTAGTTCTAAAATATACATTTTATTACTAAATAAAATATATTCCATGTAAGTCAGAAGGTGAAAAACATGGGCAAGCAGCTTTTAAAGCAAAATAAACTCCAGTTAAGAGGATTAACATGTTTTCTGAGGGAAAAGAAACAATGTTTCTGCAAGGTCCTTACATCAATATTAAAACAATCTTGAGTCCAGTTTTTCCCCAATGTGAATTCGCACCTGAATATACTGACCCTCCCCCTCCCCCTCCCCCCAACCGACCCATTTCAAGGCTGCCCAAAAGTAGAAAGGTTGCAAAAGGATGTGAAGGAAGCAGTGAAGCAGGCAGGAGGCCAAACAAACCCAGGAAAAGTGGAATCCGATTGGGGTACATTAGCTTTGTGAAAAACTTTGAGACGAAAAACTTTGCGCTCTTTGCGGTTCTCTCTGAGCGCCAAATGGGGTTGTCTTTAATCTACGGATAGTTTAGGCCAAGTTTTGGGAGAAATCAAACTATTTTCTTACTTACTGTGTGTGACACTTTTTATCCTTTTCGGAGGCCGAAAGGGTATGGGAAAAATTTCATTTTGTTGTGGACGAATTTTCTGCCTCAGCGAAGATGTTGGTTCTTGAGAATTGTATTGTGCCAGCATCCTGTGGATGCAGGAGAGAGAGCATCCTGCGGGGCATCCTGTGGACGTAGCTGAGGTTGGTCGGGGACCAATATCAACTGCAGCAGGTCTCAGCAGACGGAGTGCGGCAATTGCTCGCCTGGCTGCCTGCTTGGCCGTATCCTTTCTGCACTGCAAAAAAGTTAAAGCTGCTTTAAAATTTTATTTACTATACTAAGAAATAAACTTTGATTTAAAATATATTTTCCCATAAATATAAATTCCCTCTTTTCTTAAGAATTATTTGTTGACTTAAGTGACTCTATAGTTTTTCCTTGTGCCCTTCCACTTTCTGCCGACCGAGAGAGAGCTTGGCAAATATTTTCTTAATTAGTTGCTGCCAAGGCTTTCCCGACTCACATACAAAAAAGAAACGAAAAAAAGTGGCCGAGAAATGCAGGAAAATAGCAGGAAAAAGGGGTTGAGTTGGTCAGTTGTCAAGTGTGAAAAATTGCAGCTCAAATTGCAGTACAAAATGGCTTCAAGCGCTCGTTAAAAGTCACGCAGCACGCAGAGTGGAAAATGTTTCAAAATTTATGCGTATGAAAGGAGAAATTATATTAATTACAACTGCCAGTGGTAACATGAAAATGCAGCAGAAACATCGTCACCAAGGGGTTAAGCTACACTTGACTTTGGACCCCCAAGAAGGACCTCCCCCCACAGCGAACACATAAAAATTGCATAAAATTTGCATGTCAAAAGTGCGTCTCGAGTTCGCATTTTCCCCCCTTCACCCTTGGGAGCCATTGGCCATCATCATCAGTGTTGTTTAGCAAGCATTTGGGGAATTTACTTTCGCTGCACTGCAGAATTTCACAATCAACATAACAATTATGCCAACGAAGAGGGGAGATTGTGTTTAAATATAAACTTGTACTTGTATTTACGCACACCCAGCGCCATATGCTGTTTTATAGTGCAGTCAAATTTAAACATCAGGCGACTAATTAGGGCACACAGAGTACTGGCTATATGCACAGTCCGGGATCCCCATCATTATTGTCTGGGCCACAATCAGATAAGCGAAGCGTAGCACTGCGAATTTAATGAGCAGCCTCCACCAAATCGCCCAAGTGCTCGGGCTTTTCCTGGGAAAATCACAAAATCAGTTGGCAAGAAATCACGGCAGACAACAGTGGCAGCTACAAAGGGCGACGAAGGGGGAGTGGAGGAGGGGAACAGAGAAGGGGGCTAAAACCGCGGCGACAACATCGAAACAACGACAACGACAACGGCGACATCAGGCTGGCAGTGTTTGCCAGGGGATTGTGTTTTTTGGGGTGAAATTGTTGTGCGAGTGTGTTTTTCCTGTGCACTAACAAAAAAAAAAAAAACAAAGAAAAAGAAATATTCAAAAATATTTACAGACATCAATCAGAATGTAGAAACAAATAAATGTCTGGGAAATGAAAAAGGTGACTTACAGTAGATAATTGTCATACCCCTTAAGGTTATTATAATTTTAAAGCAGTGAAGGAGTCATTTCCGACCCCGTAAATCACATATATTCTTGATCAACATCAAAAACTAAATGTAATATAAAAATTTCAATTTAAATATTCGAAGGGTATATAAACTTCACCTACCCGAATTTAAATTCCTTTCTTTCTTCTTTATCGTAAAGCTTTACAATGTGGGATTCTTGGAGTTCTTAGTTTTTCAGGGACATAAAATATTATAATAATAATTAATAATTAATAATAATTACTATTATAATAATAATTATTAATATTTTCCACCATAGCTTTCATCACACAAAAATTCTCGTTATTATTTTATAACTACAACTCTCTGAAAATCGTTTGAAATTCCTAAATTTTCTCTGTATGTGCTAAGACCATTTATTTTTCCGACTGTCATCCTGCTGGAATTGCTACAAGCTGGAAAGGGGCTCCAGAAGGTTGTGGCACATACCGCGATGCGTGTCTGTCTCCGTTTCCCTCGATTGCACATGGAGAAAGGGGGAGGGAACTGAAGTGGGGGCGGCCTTCTGGTATTTGCCATTGGGGGAGGGGCGCGGGGGACGAACCGAAACCGAAAATTGTCTAGGCCGATGTGGATGGGTCCTTTGTTGTTGGCTAGGTAAGGATAATGACATCAATATGCTTGACAACACTCCCAGAAGACAAGAGACAGGAGGCCGAGAAGCCAGTGACCTTGGGGAGAAAGTGTGAGTGGGGTGGGGTAAATGAAATACCAGGAATGTGTGCTGATACAGGGATTCATTAGCAATCACCACCGATAACAAATGGAACTCACTTCGCCCTGCTAAAGACACTTTTACCCTCCCAAAAATGTGGTCTCCTTATTTCCATAGGGGAATTTCACCGCTTTTCGAGTGGAAGAAACTGCCACGAAAGTGGCAAGGACCAACCGCAGGACTTTTTCATTAGTGCAAGTGCCGCACAGCTGCATGCCACACACACACTCCCGACACGTTCCAGGCATTGCGGAACGTGCCAAAAAGCATTGCATAAGCGCAGGCGGACAACCAAAACGCTAAAGCAAAAAAAGAAAATCTCAAAAAAACAACAACAACAAAAACAGGTGCCGGAAAGCAAAATAGAAAAGGAAAAAAACTTGAAACGTAAATACGGGCAAGGCGAGGACAATATTTTTGCTGCCGCACCGATTGCCCATGCTCCTTTTTTTCCTTGTGCGAACCAAACAAATCTCAGCCACATACACGCAGATATTTGCACTGAGAGAAACATGTGAAGAAAGTAGTCTAACCATAAATTAAATTTGGTAATATATGGCTTTAATATATAACTATTAGCTTTAAGATAAATTAAGCTTGTCTAGCTCTTTATTAGTTTTTAAGTAACATTTACAAGATTGAAAACAATCTTTAAAAGCAAATAATATCAAATCAGTATTTAAAATATACATTGTTACTTGAGGATTTGTATTTTTTCCTAACTTTTCTCCCAGTGCACACATTGGCAATGCGTTTAGCAATCAGCTCACGACTTTGGCAACCAGTCCAAGCTGCAGCTCCTCTTCCTCAGAACTCAGAACTCGGAACTCGGAACTCAGAGCTGTCGTTGCGCATACGCCACGTTGCACCCGGCCGGCTGGGGCGTGTGTTAATAATGCGTGACATAAACTGAAGCCCCGACAAGTCTCGTCGATGGGACAAGCGAATTGAGTTGACTGGCGAATCGAGACCGAGACAAGACTGACTTTAGTGAAGGAGAAGGAACTGTATTTCAGAGTGCTTCGAGTGACAGTTTGCAGTCAGTGAGGAACTGCAGACTTTGTCGAGTAAATGACATTGTCATTGTTTTATTGACGTGACAGCAAATAAGGCAGAGTGTTGAGGGAGCTCGCACTCCATACACTCCATACACTCCACACACTTTACTCACAGCCCCTTAGCACTTAAATTTTTACTTAAAATATGCAAATAAGTGCTGGCAAAGTGCCGGCGGGATGTACTTCCGCCCTAATGTGTGTGCGAATGTGTGAGAATTTCAATTTCCTGCTCACACCCGAAACCCAGTGCCAATCAAAAGAAAACCCCAATCGAAGGACGCCGCCTGCGAGGCGATGTGCGAGGAAATTCGGAAATTAAACCAAATTGAAATTGTTTCGCGCAGAGAAAGTTGTCTTAAAGTTTCGACTCTTGCTAAAAAGTAGTAAAATATATGAAAAGGATACTTTTTGAAACAAATAAGTATCCCGATTTTAAAGACTCCTCTTCAAGATGTTTTCCTGAACTTAACTATGATGCTTGTTCCGGTTCGTTGTAAGCCCCCGGGGAAAGTTTTAATTTGCAATTGACATTTTGCAAGTGCATCCCTTCCTAATCCTGACCGGCTTGAGCAGGGATCTGGCAAAAAGGAGGTAGAAATAATTACAAACTGCAATTATTAGCCCCGGCTAAGGAGGCGCTGCCAAGGCAAATCCAATTAAGTGAAAAGCAAGTGTAAGCCGATGCCTTACCTGACCAGCTCACCTGGTTTTTCTCTTGTCTCTTTCCCGGTTTTTCCTGCCCCTCAGCAGTTAACTGGATAACTGAAGCTTCTGACCTTAGCCTGGTTTGCTCTGGGTGGTGTGCGTTTTTTCCCCCCTTGAAGTTGTGTCCTTTTTCCTTTGGCTCTGCCGTTCTGCCTGGCAAGAAATGAAATTGCCGAGCAACAAGAACAACAATGGCAATAGTAATAATAAATAATAATGGTTAAATGTGTTTACAAAAGAAGACAGAGAGAGAGGAATCTTTTGCTGTTATCTGGAGCAAAGCCTCCTCCATCCTTGCTCTTGCTCTTGGACTTGGCTCACTTTTGTCCGCTGTGAACTGTCATTGCGTCTTGCACACACACAAAAACACACACACAAAAACACACACACCATACACACACACAGAGAGACTGATTTAAAGGGGTGTCGGAGGGGGAATGAAACGGCAAGTAAAATGAAACAGAATGAGATATTATGTGGCAAGAGTTGATTCACCAGTTCGCAGTCCTACTTAATTCTTGATGCGAAAATTCCACTTGAGTCTTTGAGTCAGTTTGAAGAATTTGAAGGAATAAATATGAAGAAATTAGAGTGCCTTGCAGTTACCTAAGATTCAGTATAAAATAAAGGCCTTTCTCAAGAAGGACTTTGCATTTCTTAGCAATTATTTGACTTGAAAGGTAGTTTGGGTAGAAGATCGCAGAGCATGAAATTCAAAGGGTTACAGATTTGTAATTATATTGATTTAAATTCTTTTCTAGTTTCTAACATAATTATTATCTTAGATATATTAAAAGCTATAGGAAAACCCTCTCGAACAACCCTCGCCGCCTTTCCGCCGGTAATGAAAGTGAAAAGCTGTTGCAGCTGCAACAGCAACAACAAGAAGCATTTTTCGCAGTCGAGGAGAAAACTATTTCAATTGAGGTAGAAAATGAACGACAAGGACATGGCGGCATTTTCCCACTGCTTTTTTTTTCCTTCCCCCTCTCTCTCTCTCTACCTCTGTCGTATATTTTCGTTTCCTTTTGGCATCTGTGTGTTTTTCCTTGGTCTTGCCATGAATGAGATGCCCATTCCCTCTCTAGTTCTTTGTGTGTGTTTGCAGTTTAAATTGCAGTATGAAAGGAATTTTCACATTTAAGGATTCGTTTTCATTTGGCTTCTCTCACTGCTTTTATTTCTTTCCTCTGCTTTTCGGGGCCAAGTGGGATAATATGTCAAGTGGCATAAGTCGGTGGCTGAAAGCCTGTGCAACTGTGCCATTGATAGAATCGAAGCAGGTGTCATCCCATCGAACCCGACCCCCTTGTCTTGTCCCTCTTGTGTCTGTGTGTTGGCCCGGCTTAGTCCCAGTTTTGCAGTTAGACTCAAGTTGCACTGGCAAAAACAGCTGTGCCAAGTGGCCCGTTTGGAAGGCAGTTGTCCAAGCAACTCGGGATTGGATTCTTTGACGATATAAAAGGGGGAGCTCGACTGGCAAATGGACAGTCAGATAGCGATTTGGCAGCATGTCGAAAGTGTTCATAGTGGCCCTCGTCCTGGTGTGCGGATTTCTGCAGGCTGGCTACTGCCAGGATAATAAGACCTCAACGCCGACGGACTACTGTCAGAATACCTTGTGCCACATTCACAAAAGGCATATTGCCTGCAACAACAAAGGCGTGAGTTCATCTTCTATTGAGAGTTTTAAAAACACTTCTTCAAAGGACCTTTCCCTCTTCCTAGACTCTCAATAAGCAGTGTCCTGCGGGTGCCCATGTGGTAAACCTCTCTAGCCTGCACGATCTGATCCTGAATGAGCATAATGCCTATCGCAATGTACTTGCTGCTGGCAAAATTAAGCACTTGCCCCAACCGCAACGCATGGCCACACTGCAGTGGCATGACGAATTGGAGCACATGGCCACACTGAACGTGAAGCAATGTGCCCTGCAATACGATTCCTGTCACAACACCCCGGAATTCCGTAACTCTGGCCAGAATCTGGCTCTGATCAATGTGACTCAGCTCGATGAACACATCGACAATCACACGGATGAGAGTCTTATTAAGATGGCCATCGCCGGCTGGTGGAATCAGAGTGTCAATGTCACGGGCACGGATGTTAACCGCTTTCCCAAGGGAAAACTAGAAGAGTGGGTACCATTTTCCTTTGGGGTTACTAACTTCATTTAATTCCTATTCTACCCAAACTACAAGATCCGCTCGCAACTTTGCTGTCATGGCCCGGGATAACAACACCTTTGTGGGCTGCGCCGCCTTAAGATTCGATAAGTCCCCGGGACATCCTCACTTCCTGTTGGCCTGTAACTATGCCAGCGATTATATCTGCGATTGGCCCCTCTACAAGGAGAAGTCCTTTGGCTGCAAGTCGGGCTTCGACCTCAAGTATCCGTTCCTGTGCAAGGCGGGCGAGCTGTACCAGCCGCCAAAGCCAGTTGTGGAGGAGGAGACCACGGTGAAAAACACCTTCTGGATCTAGGAGGGAGGAGTGAGGAGCTAAAAATACCCTATACCCCTTAGTCGAAGGGTTGGGTGTGCGAGTGTAGAGGTGGTTGTGCACTCACAGTCTATTTAACATGTTGATTTGTGTCACAGTGCGTGGCGGTCATATATCATCTTCGCATTAGCATAGACACCTTGCGAGTTAGAGATGATATTGTTAAAGTGGTGGGAAAATTATCAATAAATAGCAAACAATATTTTTTTTTTTTTAACAAATATACTATCCTATCCACAGGTAAACTGTATATAACTTAATTATCACATAAAGGAACATTTCAAAATATTTAAAAGTGTTTAAAGTGAAACTCTTTCAAATTATATATAAAGGATTAATCATTATTATAACTAATATTACACTATTTCAAATAATTTAAAAGATCAAATCCATGACTTTCATGATTCGTTAACATAAGACCTTATTTAATAGCTAAAACATATTTTCCTGCCACAACACCTATCCCGAAAACACCCTTAAACTAAGCTATAAAAAAGTTATAAAACAGCTAAAGCCCCACCACAGTCAGCCTCACACATTTAGCTCAATTCCACCTCCCCCACATCCCCATCATCATCATCATCCCCATCACCATTGCCATCTCCATCAGCAGCTAAAATATGATACGCGTTGTTTGGGTCCCCGAAAAAAATGCCAACGAGACGACGACAAGTTGGCATCTAATTTTAACGTCAATATACAAAATGTAAAAACGTGTCTTCATCAGCTCGTAATATAGCTGGCCTCCCCCGCGCGTTTTCTACCCCAAAAGTGCCTATTAATAATGCTGCAAAAGAAAATGTTTTCCTTGGTTTTGCTTTATTTTTGGTGTCCATCTGCGATGAGGCCTCTACGTTTAATATGCCGTTTCCCCGTCAAATCTGAGGCTCATTAAAGTCCGCCGAGAGAAATAGGCAACATTTACGCTCAGGCTCGTTTTTTTTTTGTCGCCATAATTAATTTCGCACTAATGCCTGCCACATTCATTATGGCTTAATTAAAATTCAACTGGAATTAGTTTCCAGCATTCACCATTATGAACTTATCAAACCAAAAATGTATACATATCTCTCTATTTTTTTTGTTCTAATTATATTTTAGCCATTTGGCGGCAGGCAAATGACAGAGTTGTGCTTTTGTTCTATCACTGCTTTTGGCCCTCTCATTAAAAGCGCGTAAAACTAACATGGCCAACAACATATTTCGCACGGCGGCTCATGAAAGCATAAATACACGCATAAATAAAATAATGTACAAAGTCATGTGAGCGGTAAAAGTGGCATAAATTATTCGCATTTTGGGCCAGGAAGGATGGATGATGGATGGGAGGCTTTTAAAGGGTGTCTTTGTATATTTTGGGCTTACTTTGTAGTTGATTTTGTGATGTGAAATAATTATTTACAATACTTTAAAAATGTTTCTAATAGGTTTCAATCAAAAGTAACCTTCTAGTATTATTATTTTTTCTAAAAAAGATACTCACTCCTCCAAAAAAGATCTCAAAATAAATTTCCAAATCTCAGTAGCATTCAAATTTGTATTAGGTGTCTTCCCCATTTAATTCGTCAACCATAAAATTGTAATAAATAATTTAAATAATGCCGTAAAATGCTTAGCAGGCCCTAAAGCCTTTTCCACATGACATTATATGGAATATAAAATATTTATGTTTCGTGATTTGGAAATCGCCGGGCACACGTTCATTTACTAACCACAGAGAATGAAATTTCTATAGACTGCCTAGGCCTCTGTTATATAGACTCTGTCCCTGAACGCTTCACGAATTTGATTGTGGAAAATGATTTGATGGTCGGAACGAAATGAAAGCGGCAAAATTATGGCCTAAAGGAGGCGGCCTGGGCGTTGCATAAATTGTGGCTGAATTTAAACAAGTTAATATGATATTAGTTGGGAAGCGGGCATAAATTATGGGAAGCGTGCAGCGAACAATATAAACAATATAAAGCCGCTCTGATTTAGTGTTCGCCATTTGGCTGTTTAATGAGCACTCAGATGTGTCAACAGGCTAAATGGAAATTTATTTAATTATGATTCATAAGTCACAAAGCGGCTTACAGCTGGCAAAACATGCAAAATGCCAACAGCTCCATTTTATATTATTATTTTCCCAGCTTTTCGTTCGAGTGTTTGATGTCTCTGGTCTAAAGTCTAAGAAAGCGACTCTTGGACATGAAAACATCCCAAAAGGCAATCAAAACTTTGGCCAAGGAAGTGGCAAAATATATAAAAACAAAAAACAAAAAAATTGACAAAGCAAAACTTTTGATTTATGCAATTTGCGCTAAAAATACAAATCCATTTGATGACATTTGCGTGGGGAAATAAAATTTTGGCCAACAATTCCAATAAAATGGCAAAGCAGGCTTTGATTTATTTGTCCTTGTCTGGGGTCCGGGTTTGATTCTGGTTTTCGGGTAATTCCCCAAATGCTCAGCCCTCAGTCCCGGAGTTCAGTCCCTTACCCCTCTCGCCCCACAAATGTCATACATGAAGCATAATAAATGGGCGAGCAAAACTTTGGACAGGACAAGGGGACTAACTCCCAGCTCCTTGTGTTTTGTGTCCTGTGTCCTGTGTGTTGTGTGTTGTGTCAAGTCAAATGCAAATGACCGACAAATTTGCCAGGCTATATAGCCGTATATATCGGCGGCGGCATAAGAACGGGAACGGATATATGCCATGTTTATGTATATATATGACCGCAGGCCATGGGCACTTTGGCCACAAATTTCCACACAATTTATGCACGTCTGCGGTGCGGAAGCGGAGCGGAGACACTGAGGATCCCATTGCCGGATCATTTATTTTATAGTCCGTCGCTTTAAGTTATTTTTCTTCATTATTTTTTATGCGACTCCATGGCACTGTGGCACTGTGGCACTGTGGCACTGTGGCACTCTGGCTCCGGCAATTGCCAAAGGCATTTGGCAATCAGCGCCAAATGTTTGCCCAAATAATTTATACGAGAGCAAACAAACAAAACGACAGACGCTCATCACACATACGCCCCGTTGGCCGCCTCATGGAGAGTTCATAGACAGGATCTTAACGGCGCAGTTCATTAGCGGTCCTCCTGGTGCCTGGGCCCAGAACTTGCTTTATTAATCCTCCCAGGACCAAGACAAAGGGCAGTTGTCATTAGGGGCTGTCCTCTGGCATAAACACCAAATTAAGTTTTAGTGTTTCATTTATTTTTGGCACTCTCTTCACTGTGCGTGGTGGCTTATAGTGTGGGATTTGGGTCCTATTTGCTTTTATGGCCCCGAAAACTATGTGCGGTCGGTCTATGTGAGTCCTATTGCCTTTTGATTGTTTGTAATGAGCTCCTCGGCCGGGTTATGGTGCGGGTCATCAGTGGCATGAATAAAACATCGATCTCGGAGGCCCGATAAAGGTTGCGCAAATGTCAAGCAGTCAAAATACTCAAACTATGATTAGATGTGGCCCCGAGTGCTTGTCTAATGTGATTTAGGGCTTACATGGATGGGATTACAGCAAGGAAAATATTTCTTTATACAGCAAAAAGTAATGCTTATAATTGGGAAAGTTATTTAATTATAATTAATTATAAATTTATTCCAGTATAATTGTATTATATTAATTAAAAGCCTTTATTAAATCAGATTCTCACATTACTATTTAATTCGAGTGATAATGAATTTAAATTTGGTTAATATCGCTTACAGCTCACGTAAAGTTTATTATTTCTCTTGAATTGATAATACTTTGTTTTAATCCAACTTCATTATACTCTTATTAATTATTTATATTGCCCCCATTGTTATTTAATTTATAAAAATCAATGACCAGCTTTATGTATAGGGGCATAAGTATACGCCGATTAATTTCCAACTTAATTGATTCGTTTGAAATGTGATTCCAGGTAATTTAATTTATTTGCCAACTTTATTGCCTGTTTATTCAGTTTATTTGTGCGTTTATTTTGCCTTAAATGCACACTGACTCTACCATATATTATATCTATATTCTGGACTGGGATTCCCATTTCCGGTCCGCTGATCAAAACAAAACATATTCGAAGGCTTACTCTCGCTTTTCCTGTTCCTATTGCATTGCACCTGCAACGTTGGCCAATTGTGCGGCAAACATAATTCAATTAACACCAAAAATAAATACCAATTCAAACAGATACAACAGACCCTGCATAGAGATAGATAGAGATAGAGGACTGTTGGTAGAGAGAGATGGCGAGAACGATAGACGCTGAGTGACCGGAAAGTGGCGCTTTACAATTTGTGCAATTTCCGCCTCCGCACACAACATCAAACAGAAAAATCTCTCCACTCTGGAATATGTAAAGAGAGCGAAAAAGAATAAAACTTTGCTCCCGTTTGATGTGTGAATTGCGCAAATATTTTTGTTAAAAAATATTCTCCTCCCTCCCACACTCGCACATTCGTTGGTCTTTGCTCTTTTTCCGCGGAAACTTGTTAAATTGAAAACAAACAAAGAATGTTTTTATATAATGCGATTAGCGGCTTCGTCGGCCTCGTCCTTGGTCACCATCGAAATCTATTAGCCGCTTATGAAGGCCGATTGAAGTTTAATTGAAAGCGAAACAATATTGAGCAGAAACCACATTAATTGACAGTTGGTGTTGCGTGTCAGGCGAATATTTCAGTTTTCAGTCGAGAGTCCAGAGACTATACCAACGCTCTGGCTTCAATTTCAATTTATGGCCATTTAATAAATGTCGTCCTGGTTCCTTCAACAACGAAATCTAATTAGCATTTCGGTCCTGCCCCGCTGGCACGCCTCTTTTTGGCCGGATGACATGGCTGAATGGCAATAATTGCTTAAATAAACACCACGAGAAATGCACATTAATGAACATCAGGGCGGTGCAGTCGTGGTCGTGCTGCCTGAAATGTGAATTATGGCGAGTGCAGCTCAAGACCGGGCCACATGCAATGAGGAGCACACGATGCCCGGGTAAAATATATGGGGGATATAGTAGGGGAGTCACCCGGGGGCAAAGTGCTCTTGCCACTTGCATGTCGACCTGGTCATTCACATTGCCATCAACTGGTAGAAGGTGCAAGGCATAACATAGAGGGCATAAAAATAGGGAAAGTTAAGGGAAATTACCAAGGAAAGAAGTTCTATTCAAAGTTCTTTCAAAAGGAATATTTATATCTATAAATATATAATAAAACCTTTGTAAAGACACTTAAATAATTACTTTTAACATAATTTTGATCACTTTAAAATAGAAAATAAAGTCTTTATACTTATGTCACGCACTG